ATATACATACTCACATATATATACATATATAGATACATATGTATACATGTATATATATATATATATATATATATGTACATATATATATATATATATATATATATATATATATATATATATATATGTATACATATAAAAGCGATGTCAGAGATAATATAATGGCAAAAAGGTGGATGGTCAATGAGATATTGAGAGAAAAGACATTGAAGGCATGCAGTCTTTGCAATCAATTACTTGATATAAAAGATAGAACATTATGAGGATTAAAATGAGTAAAAGTTTCTGACTTAGCTGATTGATGCTGCCTACAGTATTCCGACTCCAGAGTTCCGTAGGCAAACCCACCCGTCCACACATCAGTTGGAATCGGCAATTTACTGCTTATATTTTTTTAATTTTTTACACTCTTATCATCATTGCAGTATATATATATATATATATATATATATATATATATATATATATATATATATATATATATAGTAATAATCTTATAAATATAAGAAATTATACTCGTCCGGAAAACCTTGGGTAAATGGTTTATGTAAATAAACAGACCAATACCCAAGTGAAAAAGGTACAAAAAAAAAGGAAAGAACAGAGAACATGACAATCGTTTACCATCCAACTTCTGAGTCCAAAGAATATAAAACCGATACGAGTAAGTAAAATAACTAAGTAAACTGCTCAATACGTTAAGTAGAGCAAACCTAATTAAACCTAAAGAGTCAGATAAACCTACCAAGGTTTTACCTACGCGGATCGTCAGGGAATTATCTGGCTCTTTAGGTTTATATATATATTTATATATATATACCTAAAGAGCCATATATATATATATATATATATATATATATATATATATATATATATATATATCTGTCTCTCTCTCTATATATATATATATATATATATATATATATATATATATATATATATATATATATATATATATATATATATATATATATATATATATATATATATATATATATATATATATATATATATATATATATATATATATATATATATATATATATATATATATATATATATATATATATAAAAACCTAAAGAGCCAGATTTGCGTTGGAATCATATTTTTAAATAAATAATTATATATATATATATATATATATATATATATATATATATATGATGTATGAAAAATACTTTTGCAAACTTTGTCGGTAGGTTCCTCACACCGAAACTAAGATAAAAATACATGTAAACATATGTCCGCAAATGTTTTTGAACTATAAATTTTAAAGAAAGTTTACGGTATATGGTGCTGTATTGCCATTTAGACCAGGTTACATTTGGCATTCGTGTACATTTGTGGCTGATCTGTCTTTAACTTTTAACGTGTGTAAGAGTGAGTTAACTGAGCAGTGTTCCATTTAACAATGGCAGGATATTCATATCTTGAACAAACAGATATTACTTTTACATACAGCCGCGCGAATCGTAATGGACGCGAGTCTGCACGGTTTTAACAGAAGGCAGCCGAGTCATCTAAAATTTGCTGCTTTTTATCGTCACGTTGCTGAGACGGTCCGTGGCAACATAAACTATTGATCGAGGAAACCCGATATCCATGAAGAACATATTCTACAGGCCGTCGTAGAGGATCCAGGTGTCAGCTCACGTCAAGTGGTCCTAACGTGTCATACATCTCATAATACTGCACGAATGATACTTTAAGAGCAGCTCCTGTATCCGTATCATTTACAACATGTGCAGGATCTTTCGCATTCCGATCACTCACCACGGGAGGACTTTTGCCGATAGTTTATTGCACAAACTGCCGATTCCTTGTTGGTCTCTTCAGTCTTGTTTGCGGATGAGGCAACATTTTGAAGAGATGCAATAACAAATTTACATAACCAACATTTGTGGGCGGATCGGAATTCCCATCGTACAATACAAGCTAGACGGCAGCATCAGTTTACGATTAATGTTGGGGTTGGAATTTTCTGAGACTGTCTGGTAGGTCCCTATGTTCACCCAGCACATTTACAAGAGCTCTCTACAGGAAAATTATTTGGAACACACTTCCAGACCTGTTTCAGAATGTACCTCTGTTAATACTTAGACACATGTGGTTCATGCATGATAAGGCTCCAGCATATTTTAGTCCCATTTTTTGCGATTCACAGGCTGATATCTACGATGAAGGATGGATAAGTAGGGGAGGGCCAGTTCCATGTCTTGCATGTTCCCTCGACCTCCGTCCTTTGGATTTTTATCTGTGCGGACACCCAAAACAATTGGTTTATGCAGCAGACATTAATAATGCAGAGATAGTTTATCAACGTGTCATGGAGACCTGTGAAACCATTCCACACCGTGTGGGACTATTTGAAATGGACCTCCAGTCAATGATCCGAGGGGAGTATGTGTGTGTAGATGAAAGCGGAGGACATTTTGAACATTTGTCATGTGTTGCTGTGTTGAGGTACAATGATGGCCTTTCGAACGATCTTTTACATCGTTTTGTTGTCAGGAACCCACCCCAAACTTTGTAAATATATTTTGATACACCCTATAAATTATGCGAACATTGTTCAAAAAGAATTATTCGAAAAACATTTACTAGAAATGTGACGTGTTTAAATGAAAACTAATCGAAAGAACGATTATATTGAATGATAATTATTTGAAATGCAAAATTCTTTATTGCAATAAAAATGTAACAATTAAAAGAGGAAATACACAAATGATAATTATTCGAAATACAAATATCGTTAATAAAACAATTTCAGAAGAAAAAATCCTTATAACCTTATGTGATACTGTACGCAAATACTGAAGAACACACGTTAAAGGATGCTACTATTTTTTTAAAAGTTTTCCATTTACGTCGCAGTATTTCTTAGCGCTCTTGATATTTTGCCAAGCTGCTTTTACTTTTGAAATATGAATTTCTTGCAAGTCCTGTTCTATTTTAAGAGCGTCTAAGAATTTTCATATCGTCGGATAATGGGATAACACTTACTGCAAATAAGGGCTATGCAATACTTAAAGGGTTTTATTAGTTTTAGGCAAATCAGCATTGACTTTCTCAAAGCAAGACCCCATACGTATTTCAAACATAGGTATTTCGAATAATTATCAATTTGTATAATTATCCTTTCAATTAATTTTCTTTCAAACAATTTACAATTCGAAGGATAGGATTGCTGCCTAAACATACAACTATATATATATATATATATATATAGTTGTATATTTAGGCAGCAATCCTTCCTTTATGCGTGTTCCATTAAAAACGACAGACAAGGTACTGCGGTTAAGCTTTTTATTTAATTTTTCTTGTATTCTCACAAGAGCTTCCTTTTTTTGGACAAAGGGTGTGTAAAACTGTGCAAATGTTTTATATTTCCGAGCGCTTTCGCCTATATCTTTAGCCATTATCAAGGATGATTCGATTTTTCAGTTTAATTGAGTGTGTGCGTTCTGTGTATGTCTTAGTGTGTGGTAGAGATGTTTTTAATTTCCGAATACGGTTAGCACATTGTGGCTTTGTTCGTAGTTAATATTGTTAAGAGTTGGCTTTTTCTTTTTTATTATGAAAGTTTCCATTATTTTTAGTCTTTTTTTGCAGGTGGATGCAGTTAATATATTTGTGTTTTCTACTAGTATGTTTCTAATGGAGTCTGGTAAACTTGTGTGTGTCTGGTAAGTTTGTGTGTTCTAATGGAGCTGTGATCAGATAGGTTTAACGTAAGCCGTCTGGATAAGCATGTGGTTGTGTAACCGATGTAATTATTTATGAGTCTGGTTTGTTCAGGAACACAGTTCCTTAAGGGGCATTTGAACTCATAGATAATGTTCGTTCTTTGTAATTTTGACTTAGTTGGTGACTTGACTTGGTGTGCGAAAATTTGGGAGTGGATTCCCTTCTTGTTAAAAACGCGTTTTTTTGGCCGGTGAAGACTACTGTGGCATTATCAGACAGTTTTATTTGGTTCTTTTCTACCGATCGGTATCGTAGATAGATGCTATGTAACTGCACTGAGTCTTTTTTTTTGTGATAAGCAATTTCTATATGACATGCATGCTACTGGCCTTAAATGATAGAATGTTTTTTTCATGATCAAGTAAATGGATCAACATTAGTAAAGTCTTTAGTCTGACATTTCCCACTGTAGTATCCTTGTCACTTTCAACTGCTCAATCGGGATTCAGAGATTACTTCCTCATAATATATATTGCCAACATAAGTTACATGTGCTACAGTAATAATAGCCAGGATTTTCCGAACAAGCTTACTAAAGTTAACGCTTACATTCGTAAGTTATTCACTGTAATATCTAATGTATATGCTGTGTGACAGTAAATATCTGATCGATAAAACTGAGATATGGAAATCCTAGATGAGTGAGTTTAACTCATGGTTAAAGCATAAATTTCAGAATCCAAAATAATCACTCCGTAAGAATAATATCATAATTAACATGATTTTAAATATGTGATTTCCAGCAGCCCGATCAATAAGCTCTGTTCAAGAAAATGGTAAATTAACTCGTTAAAACAAGCGACAGTGTGTCGCGTGTATTATCTGCCGTCGAAAAAGGAATGGTCATGTGAAAGCTCGCTTTATATAATGTACGTCCAGGGTTCTCATCCAGGTGGGGGTTCTGCTGGGGGGGATTTCATGGCTATAAGGGGACAGCACTTTAATTTTTTCTTGTTTTTTTTTTTTTTACAGAATTTTATCTATTAAATAATTATAATACCCTGGCTTTCTATTGAAATTTTGTTTATTGAAGTATGATTTAGTTTATTTAATAATTAGTTATGAATTGAAAGAATTTACTGTACATGTATTCAATTTTAAAAAAAATCAATCACCATTTTCTTTACCTATTAAATTTGTAAAACTCCACGATAAAAATAATCCAAGCAAATGTCTATGTACTAATATGAAAGAGAAAGAAAAATTTTCAATAATATATGCAAATTATTTGGAATTCGCCTTTTGAGTCGGGGATTACGGCCACATCACGTTGAAATACCCGTTCCCTTAAGATAACCGAAGTTAAGCAACATCGAACTAGATCGGTACCTAGATGGGTGACTTCTTGGGAATACCAGGTGCTGTAAGCTTGAGTCTGCGAGTAGTGTAATAAATAATGGCTCGGAATTATAATCGGAAAATCGAGTTCCAGTTCAAGTTCCTTATATTCACTTACACACAAATACCCTTGGGAAAATTATGAATTCACCTTTCCTCTCAGCTATGGGTTAATAGTAAGACTTGTATCACTAAACTATTTTTATCTTCAAAAAAGATTCTTACATTCTAAAAATATTGTCTGGAATTAAATAACTTGCAAAGTGTTGAAAATCAATCAAAACAATTTTGAGTGGGATAATCTTGAAAAGGGGTCAGGTGATGTCATTCTGACTTATGATGAAAGGGTGCTTTGCGCAAAAATGGTTGAGAACCACTTGTGTACGTCATGGAAATTTCCGTCTGAGGATGACAACAAGGCCACTGATCGGACGGTTTCGAGGAGCGTGGAACCAAGTTTTAATTGCCAGCAATAATTATTTTGTAAAAAAAAAATATATTACCAGCAATACATTTTTATAAATGAAATTATTAATGCCCCCAAGAAAATTAAATTTTGGCATTAAATGACCCATAAGGTGTTGTTACGCCACTAAATAAACAAACAGCAAACAAACAACAAACAAACCATATAAATTCCTAATCTACCTCAACTTACTTGCATATAATTCGAGTGCCCCGAGCGACAGACATCTGGTTTTCTTGTTCTTAGCGTTCGGGCTGGAATGAAGTCTGAATTATCTCTCATTTCTCGCAACCGTGGGGTGGGGACGAATAAATACCGGTCATTTTCTAGATCCTACCCTTCGGGCTGGGACGAAAATCCAATTACTTCTCTGTCGTAATTCTTTCTTCGGAGAGGTCACGGAAAAAAATATTTGAAGGAACGCCTTGTCCCGGGGATTTCAACTCTGCAAAATCAGCCCCCTCTTATTGGACCAAAGAAGGGGCTTGGTATAATTAAGAGCCAGCGTGAGAATGGTTGCAGGAATGGGGAATTTTGGGCCTTGGCCCATGTGTACGCGCATGGATACCCATCATCCTCATCACCTGGAGAAAGCGAGTAAATATCAGTGGTTTTCCTGATAAACGAAGTGTGTATAGGACAGATTTGTGATTGATAGTTTTGTTCCATACGATTTACAGATTAACAGCTTTTGAGCTGTGGACTTTTGTTTTAATTTTTGACACTTCTAGAACTCTTCAATTCCAAAGTATTTCGGCGCAGTGACTGATAAGACGTTTGACCTTAAGCTTATACCTTAGTTTGATGACTCGGTCCCGGATAACCAGTTACTGAAGGAATTTAAAAAGTGAAACTGCGATCTCTATGGGATAAAGAAGTTTAAACGATGGGTTGCCATTTGCCATTGTCTGGCAGAACATTTGCTGTCTATCAACAGTGCAGTAGGGAGCAAAACTCGGATCTTGAGCTGATAAGACGGGCTTTATAAATTTCTTTTTAGCAAAGACCATTTCTTGAACTACGAGCAATTTGTGGAGAACGCGCCAGTCGAGGTCTTTTTAACAGACTTTAAGAAGCTCGCCGTAATATTCGGTGGAATATCTGAATTCCATGAATTGGTATGTGCGTTCTTGGCAGAAATGCGAGATTCAGTCAAGAAAGTGTTGAGCTCGTCCTCCAGGATGGAGGAAATGACTATAAATCAGCTATTGGACCGAACCCGAATCATAATGAAGGATCAGGTGGTGACCGAGGAAATAGCTTTGTCAAGCAATTTAACAGTTAAAGCTGTAACTGGTTAAGCTCCAATTGCTAAACATCGCCACAGCATTAGATTCTACCGCTGTTCCTGGTTGATTTATTTTTCAAAGGACTGCACGGTTCGACCAGAAGAGACACACGTCCACACAAGGCCATATCAGTAGTGCGATGCTACCGATGCTGTGGGTTTAGGCCATATTGTTTCAGAGTCTTGGGGAAGAGAACAAGTCATCCACGCTAGTTTCTTCTCCAAGCGAATTGGAAATGTGTTTCTACCACTTATAGACATCCATGTGAATGGAAGAAAGAGAGTAGCCCTGGTGGGCACTGGCCGTTCACAATCACTCAGTCTTGGCGGGATAACGAGGTGAACGTGCTAACTCTAAGCGGAAATATCCTCAAGTGTTGCGGTGTTGGAAATATCAAACTTGGTGTGGACAATATAGCTCCCGTCGACGTCGAAGTTGTAGTCAGTGGATAAATATTGGGTTTAGGCTTATTGCTTGGATTCGGTATTATAAAGCTGGGTGGACTCCATATAAAGGGTTCTGGCAATGTACCTTTTCCTAAGCCCAATATGTATCTTTACGCACCCATTAAAAGTGATAAGCTAGATTTCTGTACTGAACTCCCCGAAGACAAGAAGATTTGGTTTGCATCGTGGAAGTGGTTAGACATCGAGGAATTTGCGGAGTGGAATGCATGAGTATCCCATACTAAAAGATGTTAAGAGGAATACAAACGCGAGTTATATATATGGCTAGATAATGGTTGGTTGCAGCCTTTCCTGAAAAGAAACATTGTCTCGCAAGACGTTTGATTCCATTGATAGCGATGATGCAGAAAAAAAAGTGTTAGGCTATCGGGAACCAAATGGGGGACTGGACGCACGCACAGCCAACCCTGATCTATGTGCACAGAGACTTTAGCAGTGGCACCAAAAAGCGCCCAATGTCGTTATCCTGCAAGTGGCGATTTACAAATCACTAAGATCCTTACAAAGAGAAGATATTAACACAAATGGGGTTCGAAGTGTTCCACGAGCCATAATGGATGCTGTACTCTCAGAGTACGTGTCTCCTAACATATACATATATTATTTCTGCAGACCGTGTGAAACAGCGCTTTGCCAATTTTGAACTGACTTATGGTTAAATGACGTGTTACATATCAATCTGGCAGTAATGGAAGCGATCCTGAAGGGCGTCCATTTGCACAACAGTGGGGCGCAAAGGTGTTGCACCTTTTCACGGACACTGCATGTCTGCATCGATCGGTGTCTGAAAAAGCGTATACGTCGGACTGACGCAAGCGAGTTGCTGCTCCCAAGACGGCTCAGCACTCTTGAAAATTCAGTCCAAGAATATAAATTATCCCTAACTTTGATGTTAGGGATGTCAGATCAGAACCCGACAGACAGGTTCACGAGGATACCGTAAAGATAGTATAATGTGATCAAGATGGCGGTTGAACGGACACAAATTATATACGTTTCGATCATGAACAACATACCATATAACACCTGGATGGACATTTCTGGTATCAGATAGACAATGTACTTTGTGAAACGTATCCATACTAAAGCATCAAATGCGGCTGTCAGTGCATTGGTTATAGAATGTAAGGTAAGACATTCGATTGTCTTCGTCTTAAATCCTTAGCCATGAGGAAACTTGTAGGAATGAAGTATCTAACCGCTTAAGAACTGTTCTGAAAAAAAATGTTGTATCATAAATTAGAAAAAGTTTTGTAGCGTGTTGCATGTGATGAAGTCATAGCCTTGATGAAACGTGTCACAAAATATTTTGTTTCCCACCTTTGAATCACTTTCTATATAGAATTAGCATAAATCCAATTTTTTGAGGCTAGAATAAACTGAACTCATCTGCTGAGGATGTAGATCAGACTTACGAATATATCTGTTTCTCTGCAATAATAATTTATACCAAAAAAGTATTACATTGTGTTAATTTTGCAAAAGAAAATTCGACACTTCAGACCTAAATAAAGTTTACTCATCCATTCCCATGAAAATATGTCACAAATCATTTTATAATATTGTACCAAAGAAAGACATATATATGTAAATAACGTTTTATGAGAAATCATAATTTTCCCCTTAACTCTACGGAGATCATAGAATCTGTAGATAAATTATATCTCTGTTATTTATCTAAATTGATTTCTTTTTGTCTTTTGCTATATATGTTCATTGTTTTGATCGTAATTTTACGACATGTTTTCTGGGTTGTTGGTTTTTAGATGTAGTTATCAGTGCATCATGTTTTGAATTCTAATCTTAACAACCTTAAACTGTTATGAATGCGACATTATCGTTATCAGTTAACCGAAAACAGACGAATCAGAAAAAGTGATGACGAATAATCAATAAAACATTTTAACATAAGAATAGTGTGAAACAAATATTAAGAATTTTATAGACACATATATGTATGTGTACTCTTACGTATAAAGTTTTATACTGTGTATATTTACAGTGTGGACATAATGCATGTGGCATATTTGCGAAGACATCACTACTGGAATAATTTTGAAAAATGATTAGTGATTGATACAACAAAAAATAAAGATTAATATGTAATATAAAATAAGAAGAAATAAAATGTTAGACTAAATTTTGAAAATATATGGATTTAAATAAAATATTTTTGCTTCAAATTCTGCCTTGTTTGAAATTATGGAGAAAGAAAGGTTTTGCAGTGTATATTAAACTTTTGAATCCGCTGTATATCTATCTGTATATCTATCTCTCTATCTATCTATATATATATATATATATATATATATATATATATATATATATAAATTTCATGAATCAAAAAACAAATATAGAGGTTAATGATTTAAATGGCGAGAATACATCATCGCAAACAATATAAATAAGATGCACCAACCCCGAACCTGTATATGAATGATATGATCCCTGTTTATAAATTCCAGTTACATAAGGTCTTTTTAATTTTTTACAAGCTTTCGTCTGTTCCTACAGACATCCTCAGGTATGGAAATAGATTTTGTTCTTGTTTTTACTTCTCGGTAATAAGGGGACAACGAAAATAGAGATGTAATCCGAAAAATGCTATGAGAAATGTGTTATTATTTTGGAACGTACTGTCGCAACGCTGAGTTTGAATTTAAATTTTAAGGTTGTGCGTTTTTGTACAAATATAGCAATAAGAGAATTCTTTTTTACTGGTAGATTTTCCGTCAATGTGACATGAACTATATTGTTCAATAATTACAAAAGTGAAACACATATTATCCGAAAGTTGCATGTTGGATCAGTTATTTTAATTTCAATTAAAAGGTGCAATTATAATTTATAAATTCACGAATTTATAAACAGGGATCATATCATTCATATAGAGGTTCGGGGTTGGTGTATCTTATCTATATTGTTTGCGATGATGTATTCTCGCCATTTAAATCATTAACCTCTATATTTGTTTTTTGTATGAATGATTCATGAATTTATAAATTATAATTGCACCTTTTAATTGAAATATATATATATATATATATATATATATATATATATATATATATATATATATATATATATATATATATATGCAGTAGTGAAAGTAAGTATAAAAAAACATTAAGTTTTTCATAATTTTCTTATTATTGCACACATTTCTCTGAAAAGTTGTGTGTGGTACGTAGATCCGATGATATTAATATACATAATCGATTTTATAAAAACATTTCACCAAAATTAATTAACAAAACTTCGTTTTCGAAGGTAGAAATAATTATAAAACTGTTTTGAAAATTTGCATAACTGGTTTACTTCAGAATGCCAAAGGAAGGTTAAGTGCATGCGCAGATTATAAAAATACTCTTATCATGATTTTAAGCCACGTGAGTTCGATTTAAACATTTCATAATTGAATACAGTTACTGAAAAATACCTAGGAACTTCCCCCTTATAAACTAGAAGGAAAATCTATGTTTCATTGCAAGAGAAACCTTGAGTTCCCTAACAGTTGTGATTATTATCTGAAGAACCCTGAATCCTATGGAACCAGAAAACGTCCAGGTCGTCCAGCTAAACTTACAAATGCAGTTAGATGTCGACTTTTTCGAGAAGGTTCTAAAGCACAATCATGCTCAAGAGATCTGCAAAAATCTCAGAATTTACCCATCACTCGTTCGTCAACTTCTCCATGAATCGCCAAATCTCGTGTATTGAAACAGGAAGACAGCCTCTGCTTTAACTGGTAAATACATGACGATGCACGTAGATTGCGTAAAGAAAAAGTAATATGGACAAAGGAGAAATGGGTAACCGTGGTGTTTTCTGATGAGAAAAAGTTTAGTTTGGATGGGCCCGACGGCTACCAGTGTCATTGGCATGATTTAAAGAAAGGAGAAGCAGCTATTTTCAAAAAGACCATCTAGACGAGGATATGTTATCATTTGGAGAGCTTTTCTGCATCCGAAAAGGCTGATTTGGTAGTGATGGAAGGGAAACAAAACGTTGCTCGATAAATCAATGTGTTGGAAAAAAAGTATTGTCCCATTTATGAATCATCTAGACACCAATAATGCCGTTTTCAACAGGACAACGCAGCTATACACACTTCTAAGCTCATGAAAGACTGGTTTAAAACAAAAAAAAATATTAAAGTTTTTGACTGGTCAACTAAGTCTACAGATTTATATCCCATAGAAAATTTGTGGGGAATTTTGTCAAGAAGAGTATACAAAAATGAACGTCAATTTGAAGATAGAGAAACTTTAAAATCTTGCATTAAACAATATTGGGATGAAATTCCATCTGAAACTCTCAGAAAACTTATTGATTCAATACAAAACCGTTGTGTTGAAGTATTACAATTGAAAGGGAATAAATGTAAATATTGAATTTTGTATAATTTTGCTGTTAAATACAATTTTTCAAAACTGTTTTATAATTATTTCCACTCTCGAAAACATATTTTTCTTAATAACTTACTTAATAACTTTTTTGGTGAAAAGTTTTTATAAAATCAAATATGGATACTAATCCCATCGGATCTAGGTACACACACAAATTTTCAGAGGAATTTGTGCAGTATTAAGAAAATTATTAACAATTTCATGGGTGTCTTATACTTATTTCCAACATTGTATATATATATATGCAATTTATATATATATTATTTATATATTATATATTATATATGCGCGGTACTTATTGCAAAGTGATCTGTGACTTGCGTAAATGTTCGCTACGCAATCCAACATTGAATGCAGCGACTAATTGCGTACGTATGTACGCAAAGACACATGGATGCACATATACGCCCAGTCCCACATTGTTTATATATATTTATGTTTGTGTGAGCTGCAATGCGTGAACGTGCGTCTATGTATGTTTGCGTACGTCTGAGTAGCGTTTTGGCGACAATTTGTCCTCCCACCTCCATAAAAACACTGATATACGCAACCATATATGAATCAAAAATTTAAAAATTAATCAATTTTTCTGACGATCGCAAATACTGTTAAATCCAGGGTCACAAACTCACATCAATTCAACTACATATATATATATATATATATATATATATATATATATATATATATATGAGGCTGCTGAAAAGTTCCGGGCTCGATTCATTTGATTTACTTCTCCAAATCATTATTTTGGTGATTGAAACACTGATTTTAGTGGGAAGTCAGGGAAATGTGCAGTGACCCTTTGATATATACACTGACGTGAAAGATTCGTGTAATAAAACCTCTTGTAATCATGTATGGTCCTCTCTAGCCCAGCGAAAGACAACAATTCGATTTGGCATCGATTCCACAAGTGAACTAAACTTCTCTGGAATGATGTTGACACCAGAAATAGCTTTGTCCTAATACTGGTCGATTCAGAATCTTATGCACGAACATTGCCCTCCCTCCAGAATTGCACGATTGGTCACATGTTGTCTAAACATGGTTGGAATCACATTCGTCGGAATTCTCTTAAGTGCCCCTCATGCCAATTCCTGATCACACTGTATAATCTTACTGAAGTTATCCATCATTTTGGGGAAAGATGGTGTAATTGCCTGGGTGCTAACGGCTAGAACAGTGTGATGGCGTGTTAGACAGACTAGAGGATCCAAAACAAAACCACGTGCATACAGCTCTCCCTATTATACAATCACCTTCCAATCGTGTCTTGTTGACAACTGGCGTCTATGGACTCATCAAGCTTGAGAAAAAACCGAAACCCATATTAATTCTGATACACATAGAACCGTGACTCATTGGTCAAGGCCACAAGTTACCAGACCCCTAGGGTTCAATTATTATCATCACGCGCACAAGTGTGACGCTATATCCAGTGTCGTCGTCCCATATTTCATAGAATCTAGAAAGAAATAAAGAACAGAACTGACTTGCTAGATAAGTGTCTAGTTCCTCTTGAAATGAATGTGGATGTGATTTGAGCAAGTGTTGCGTGTTTTTGTTTTGTTTATTTTTTTTTTTTGTTTCTAAAATACACTTCTAGCCATATGCCGCTGGTTTCGACCATGAAGGATCCGCGGTCGGCCAGTGCATTGTTCACGGTTCGTGGTGATACATTTCCTCAGGCATTCCCGTTACAAACTGGATACTGTAGATCGACAAATGTCCCCTATATTTCAGAAATTAAACTTTCCGTCCGTCTGGTATACGTAAAGTATTCCATTCATATGACCTTGCTATGGATAAGTGAGTGTATAGTAACTCATCAGATGTCAGAGCACACCTGTTATATATGTGTCTGGACATTTTCATAACGTCAAGATGCGTATGTACTTTGCATACTGCTCTGCCATGACTCTTGATAAGTCAATATATATATATATATATATATATATATATATATATATATATATATATATATATATATTGGTGCATTTTAAAAAAATATAATTGCTATACATTCGTGAATATTTTTCTATTAAAATGTTTTCTGCACAATGGAAAAAAAAATCCTTTACTCTCGCCATAGTTTCAATATACCATCCTGTTAAAATGAATTATTCATTATATGCAGTGTCTCCTCAGTGTGTAGGCGATCATGGCTCTCCAAATTTTTCTGTCCATTGTGCCTCTTAATAAATTTTGTCTTTCTGTTATTTCTCGTAAGCCCTGTTCTGCCATTCGTTTACTCAAGTACACTAAGTATGTTATACATTGTTTTCCTCTGTCATTCTTGCCCAATGAGAATCCGTTTTTCAAAGCCCTTCTTCCTCATTATGCGCGCCAGAAACTTCAACTGACTCTTCCTGAAGTTAAGTACTAGTTTCTTTTTTGATTATATTTTCTCCCAAACTTCGTTTATGCTCATATGTTCGCTCCAAGTTATCCTCAGAATCCTTCTGTATAACCCCATTTCTGTTGCTTTAAGTCTCTACTTCATCTTTGAGGGGATCGACTGCCATACAGGAGGACAGATATGCAGCAGTCTAGTTAGATTTTCTTGTTTCTAGCGAGATTTTTCTATTTCTTTGTACCCTGCTTAGCTTTTGAACTGCTTCCGTAGCTATCCCAATATACCTTCCGGTTTCAGTGTCACACTTTTCCGTTCTTTGTTGTAACACTTCCTAGATATTTACATTTTGTACTTTCTTGATTTTCGTATCCCCAATTTGAAATTCGCACATTGGCTTCACTCTCTCGCTAATAACAATGCATTCTGTCTTCTTACAATTGATGTTTAATTCTTTCTTCTCGCTTTCCTTTAATACTTTCTGTATCGTGTCAGTAATATTAAGGCCGTGTTGGTAGCGTAAATTTTGTCGGCGTGGAAAGGCCAGCCACAGTCGGCTGCTTTCGATTTCGCACTCAGGGAGAAGCATGGGAACATTTCTTCTATCTCTAGCTAAAATTTTATTTAGTGTTGAGTGGTATCCCGTCTAGAAGGAAGATAAATTAGATATCTAAACCGTAGAGAATATAACGGGAAACTTATTCAGTTTGTTCCCCAAGCAGAATAAATATGGCGTATGAAAAAATACATCAGTTAGGATGGAAGTCTACAAAGTGTATTAATCGGATCAAACCAAGATTCATAAATAAGCTTATGCTAAAAAATGCTTTAATCCAATAACGTATCCTTATAAAGAAAAGTAGGATAAAGTATAAAGAAAGTAGGATAAAAATAAAAGTTAATACTGATTGTCGTAATTCTTGGCTCTTCCCAAAAGCTGACCAAAATTATTGTACGAAATGGGGTTACTGAAAAGATCTCAACCAGAACTCGAAGACCCTGAAACAAACTTACGATGTTTCTTATAATGTTTCTATAAACATCATAAGAAACATCGTAAGTCTGTTTCAGGATCTTCGAGTTCGGCTTGACATCTTTTCAGTAACTCCATCTTGTACAATAATTTATTTTTTTCAGTTCATTTCGATTAAGATTGCCTGATCTTAAACTTGCAGTTGTTTTGATTTCATGATTTTGAAAGCTTTTAACACATAAAAGTAAGAAGCTATCTTACCATCTTTTGTTTTTCTTTTTTATCCATCAGACTTTTTTCTTATGTGATAACATCTCTCTTTTACATTTCGATCCTTTCCAGTAAGGTTATTCCTTTTATTCATATATAAGAATACTGCATATCAAATTATGAAATACTAACAAGACTACTTATCGATTACTAGGGCATTAACTTAGAACAATCAAAACGTGGCAGCATACAACTGAAAAACGAAGGACATTCAACGATAGACATAAGATTTCTATCACTAAACTTTGTTTTGGAAAACGCTGACATGTGATGAAATAGTTTCAATATTTATTGATGAAGTTTTCGCTTATATTTTTGTCGAGATTTACAAACTCTACATTTCGTTCAATTTCGTAAACCAATCAATGAAATTTGAATCAGCTGATTCGTTTAGAAAAATACTTCTACTTCGCGGTTTAATAATTTCTTTAATTTAATTAAAATTTATAGGACTTCATGATAAACAATATTTTTTAAAGAAAATTTATATTTTTCTTTTTTAAAAGCGAATAATAAATTCTTACGCTTTCTTACCCTTGAACATACAGCATACATCAGGCCATGCGTAAAATTTTCTTCCTGGAGTCAAATTGCAACTTTTTGTATCGATTTTTTATAATTTTTGCAAACATAGGGCGAACTGGAAACTGGATATTTATATATATATAAAAACTTAAATCTCTATCTATAAAATGCAGAATATGTGTGTGTGTGTGTGTGTGTGTGTGTGTGTGTGTAACGAATGCACGGCCGCAATTTTCGACGGATTTGCATCAAACTTTACTTGCACATGCTCCAAGTTAGTGGGAAGGCCAAGACCGACGTTGCATTTCTCAACTCCCATCGATAGTGGAAATAATCGATTTTCATGCTTCTACCGCAGTTTTAATGTAGGTTGCGGCCATTTTCTACTGACCAAAGTGAGAGCCTATAGCTGGCTGCCACGAATAGGCAGGAAGATTCTATTGGCCAGCGTGAGAGCCAACAGCTGACTGACACGAATGTTAACTAGCATGCTAGCATGCAAAAAAATCGATAGCTTCATTCATCACAAGTGGGAAAAATTTAAATCTGCATGACACTTTACTCCAATTGGCTCATTCGCTTGCTTAAACTCAACGTTGATTCTGATTCCGCAGAACTGGATTGGGTGTGAAAAAGTATTTGTTGTTAACATTCTTTTTTTATCCGGTTTTTTCAGTTACGAGTCCTTTTTTAAAGCTGATCGTTTTGTGTTCATTTTGTTTAGTTCTTTTTTCGTAACAGATTTAATGTTTAGTATAGAGCTTAGAAAAAATTCGCAGTGTGAGATAAGCAAGAAGTAAGGCATGTAGCAACATCAGCACGGAAAAGGGCACTCCTTTAAAGGCAAGTAAGGACAAACATATTTATAGCAATTGCTGTATGAGTCGTACGATTTTTGAATCAAGCACTGGCAACGCTGGGCCATACTGCTAATAAGATGTATGCAAACAGCAATATTGCATTTTTATTAAATAAGTATTAGTTATTTTAACCATTAAATTGTTTTTAAAACAGTGGGTGTATTTTTTATGTTAATTATTACTCTTTCCAAAAATCAATGAAAATTTATTGTACTAAGCTACGCACCCACTAAACCCAACGGTACTTTGTACCCCGTTTGCTGTTTGCACTTCTCCCCAAAATTTGATTTTGATCGGTTAATCTATGGCTATTTTAGAGCGTGTGAAGGATGGACTGACTGTCAGAAGACACAGAATTTTATATATAGATAGATGGAAGAATTTTAATTACAAAACATATAAATAAAACTTAAAAAGCGAATGAACTAAACAATTTCTTACATTGAATAAGAATTCGTATTTCTTTCTTGTTCGTACATTCTTATCATTCGAACTTATATTAATCAAAACCTGCCTTCACAATTATGTATACTTAAAAAAAAGAACTCAATAGTCAATGGATTTCCTATGCAAATTTGTAATATTTGCAATGACCGAAAAGGTTTCAGTTTTACTGGCTCTATCATTAAGTTCTTGATTTTGCAAATGAAATGCTGAACAGTTTAACTGATTCAGATATGGAGCTTATAATCAGGTTTCTCAACGCAACAAATAAAGCGAACTCCCTGGTGTCACAATACGGATAACGGTAAACCAATTAGAAGCCAGTATTAGGGATTGCTGATTTTTATTGAGCTTTCAGTACCAATCAAGACTCTTTCGGTTTGGCGCGGACCCTCAGCTGTCAACTTTATAGTGGAATTTAATCCCATTCTCTTTCTTTTTTCTTTCTTGCTTTCTTTTTTTGTTTTCATTTTTTTTCTTTCTTTCTTACGTCTTTTCCTTTCTTTCTTTTTCGTTTTTTTCTTTCTTTTTCGTCTCTTCTTTCTTTTCATTTTTTCTTTCTTTTTTCGTCTTTTCTTTCTTTTTCGTTTTTCTTTGTTTTTCTTGCTATCTTTTTTTTCGCTTTTATATGCGCCATTTTTCTTTTTATACGGTGATCCTATTTTTCATTACTTGCTTCTTTGTCGCTTTTATTTCATTTCTTTCTTTGTTTATTTCTTTTTTCTGAACTGTTTTTTCCTTTGCCGTTTTTTATTCATATATCATTTTTAGACGTTTGTTTCTTTCATTTTGCAATGTCCTTCTATCTTTTCAAATTTTTTCTTGCTGTCTTTCTTTCTTTCTAAACTCTTTCTACAATTTTCGATTTGAAACGTCAAAATTAAGAAGAAGCATAATTTTTGATAAGCTTTTTCTTTTCTTTATGTATGGTGCCTTTATGTTTTCCATTCCTTGTTTGTTTGTTTCTTTCTTACTTTCTTTCTTTCCAAAGTTCGTTCGTTCTTTCTTTCTTTTTTATATTCTTAGTTTGTTATATGTTCTCTCTTTCTCTAGTTGATATTTCATTTGCATTTCCCTCCTGTTCTTTGTATGTTTCTTTCATTAATTTTCTTTCTTTCCTTGATTTCTTTTTGCTTTTCTTTCATATTCATTCCTCACAGAATATTTCTAATTTCTTTTCATTCTTTTTTTTCTATTGCTTTATTTCGTTGAACTATTTTCTCAATTTCCTTCCTGGATTTCACACTCTTTCCTCCATTATCTTTTTCCTGTTCATATTTGTTTCTAAATTTCCCTCTTTCTCTTGTTTCGTTCTCTTTATTTCCCCCTCCCCACTTTTCACTCCTGCTCTCTTAACAAACAGTTCGAAATCTGAGCTCAAGAGAATCCGGACCAGCCGGATATTAATTTTTCTCTCTGCAAGATTGATTATGCTATTGTAAGGTAGTTGGGCACTCTATGGCCATAACACCCGTCAATTCAGCGTCATCTGCTTCCCAACCTTCTTTTTCAACCTCATCATCATTGGATTTCATATCGTTCTTCTTTGCCGCTATCCGTATTGCTACCCCCATTTTCCGGAAATAATAACTGAAAATACATCCAACAAATTCACTATTTGTGACATTAGTAGTTTATACTTTATATTCTTATTTTGCGGACCATTATCCTTATCTAAAATGTTTATTGCTGTTGTGTCCGACGTTTGGTGTCTTTAATCAGTCGCACATGATTAATCAAGCGTGTAAAATTTTTATGCAGTTTTGTTTTGTATTTAAAGTGATTGTGAGTTGATATTCCTCAAGGTAAAAATAAATTCTTGCGAATTCATTATCTTTTTCTACCGATTAATATTTTATCATGAAATACATAATTTCTGCTTCAAAATACGATTATAGCTAAAACAAATTAGAAATCATCAATATTTTTACGATGAAAACACGCTTGTCGTAATTGTTTAACTAAATAATCAGCGTCAATTTTACAAATTTTCTTTATCATAAAGTTCAACCGATACAATGCTTGAGACTTATTAAAGGTTAACGGTTACTGTAAAATGTTTAGAATTAATCAGACGTGTAATATTAATGAAAGAGGCGGGGGAAGGAAAAAGAATGTTTTAGAAAAAAGAAGATAGATAACAATTGATCCTTGACTTGAAATAGTTAAGATTGTAATTTTCATAAGAGCATCGGCGTGGGAGTCTGTTTCACAGAATTGCCGTTCTTGGGGAAAAATCCTCTCTGAGTGAAATTTTCTCCTTACAATATGGAATGAATGTGACTGGAATTAAAATGGCCTGACCTAGCAGTAAAGGTGTAAAAATAGGGGAATTAGAGAATGGAACTACTTTGAATATTTGCAATGGAAATAAGTAGCGATAGGCTTGCAACATAAGGGCAGGCCGAATTTGGAACCTTGGTATTGCATTCAATTTGAAAATTGGGCTGTGACATGATAAACAATGACGCAAAATATTTTTTTCAAATCGTTAGGATTTTTTGAGGAAATGAGTTTTAAAAAAAATAAGTTTAGGTTCAAAATCATAGCGTTGAAATTTTGTACGATTTTAAATAAACAATGCAAATTTAAAATATTTTGTTTTATAATTAGTGTCTAGCAATATTATGGTGTTATATACAATTTTATTTTTGTATTACTTATGATCTAACAAATGATCTCAAAAAAATTATTCATTGTGTATCCTTTTTTGTATTTTTTTTTACTTTTTTCTTATCGAATACAGTAAAATAAATATGCATATTTTGCTTGTGGTGATTTATAATTAAAATTCTTGTTTGAATATATTCTCAATTCAATGTATCTAATAAAAAACGTATCAACTTTATTTGAATTTATTCTTAAAATAGCAAAATTCTGAAGTCAGCGTGTAAGCAAAAATCTGCGGATATAAGGCATTTCTGTTCAGTTTTTTTTAACAATATTTAAAACTAAATGCTCAAAAATTAGTAAAAGCAATGAATCTAACTTTTGGTTTGGTTCTTATGAAGTTAAACCTCAGGTTTTTCCATGGAGTGCAATATCGATTTTGTAATAAGTGAAAAATCAACCTGTCGTATTGCAACATTGCGTTCACAAAGTGTCAGTTTTTGGGAAAAAAAGATTTATTAGTAGATTTTTCTTCTTACATTTGGAATACAGAGAAAATGAGGGCAATTCGACTCGGTGGAAATATCATGCTGTGTACTACCTGCAAAGGTCCGAAATAAACGTATCTTATCTATCTATCTATGATGGTAATTGAAGTTGCATTTGAATTTGTGAAAATTTTCGTTATTATGGAAGCAATGAAATGGAAGAGAGTTCAACAGGTGAGAAATGCGAGGAAAGAAAATGTTGGAGTAGAAATTGCGGTTGCATTTAGCTATTTTAACATTAAAAAAGTTGTACCTAGTGTCAATCTAGTAGAACGCTTACAATTTATGTATTCGAAGCGCCAGGGGAAAAGATCGTCAGAGCAGTTGCCATGAATATATTTGTAGAAAAGACAGAGGGAAGCCATGTCATGCCGCTGAGAAAGTAACTGAAGTCTATATGCCAAGCCAGGATCGATTACATTACAAATCCTTCTTTCGATTTTGTCATTAATCTCGTGATGTACAGCAGTAGCACCAGACCAGATATGACAACCTTATTCAGTGTGCAGAGCAATGGTAGAATTATAAATGTACAAGACGGATTCTGACGAGAAAATCTAGTACGGTACCGTGAACCAACTTACCTTGCAATAGATGCAGCTCTTGATTCGATATAGTCGTTCCACTTCAAGTTAGTGGAAAACGTGATACCAAGAAGTCGCCGTGTGTTGCTTTCCTGAAGTCTAGCGTTAGCCATGCTCATGGCAGGCAGAAAAGGTTCTTTATGGTGGTTAAATTTTCCATGGAAATAGCGATAGAGTACCTCCTTAAAACCTTGCAACGGCTGCAGAGTGGGAATATGTCCATCGGCTTCATTTTTTTTTAATTTCAGACTTTTAGAGCTACCACACTTCATGCTATTATCCTGGACTCGAATCAACTTCATTTCTTCCCCATACTAAATATAAGAAAAAAGAATAATTCTTCCGTCATAAAACGCGTAAAATATATCCATATTATTATATATTATCTGAAAAGATATATAAAATGACCAATGGATTAATTCTATGTCCATGATTTGATTAAACCTATGAAGCATATAAATAAAATAAAATCTAATCTCCAAGCTGGATTATCTATATAACATTCTCTGAAATCAACATCTGTATAAATACTTGGAAATTCTAATTGTCAGAGCATATGTTCCTAATTAAAACATATGGCATAAATAATTACTATATTGCTCGATATCGTACCGATGCATCAGATGCACTTTTATTTTGAAAAAAACAAACAAAAAAAAACAAACTAAAATCGTTCTTGAAAAGATTCAAACTAATACTTTAAAAAATAGTATATATTGTTTTAATCATGAAGAGTTCAAAACAAGAAACTACTGTCAATCAGATTCAAATAAAAATCAAAGGAAAAGGTTATTTTTGTTCAATTTGGTTCAAAACCTAAAAATGTCCTCAATACGTCCATTATATTTGGAAAGGAATGGGACATTTCATAATGAATCACTATGATCAAAGAGAATGTCATCCTTATAGGTTTCACTATCGCTTGGAAATGAACCAGACACTTCATCATTGAATTCAATAATATGATCAAAATGAGTGACATCCTTATAGTATTCACTATCTCTTGGAAAGGAATCACAGTTTTCCTTATTGAATCCAATATTATAACCAAAGAAAATGTCATCCTCCGTAACATCCATTGCGTTATTGATCCCAGACTTCTGAAATGCCTTACTCTTTATATTGCGTCTTATTTTGTAGCACAAATTCTCCATTTCCCCATTCATACCTAAAGAAGTATCGGTTTTTTCTTTCGTCCTGTTTTAGTTTTGATAAGTCCGCCTTTGCGTTAAACAAACTGATATCATCCCAATGTATGACTAGTAAAACCTTTTCGACTATTATCACATGGAAGCCTCTTTGATTTTAAAAGTACCATCTTTGCAGAAACGGGTAGCATTTGCCTTCTCTGATCGATAAACCAGTCACAGAGATTCTTTCCGGGACATTTTTAGTTATTCCCTTGGAAATTGTACTTATCATTTTCGTTCTTAATTTTAGTGTATAGGTTTGTTTTGTTTTGTTTTACAGCATCTCAATCTCAATGGATCATTTAATGCCGACAACATCTCTGTTGCTGGTAATATATTTCCTTCAAAACATCTATTTTTGGTAATATTTTTTTCTTCAGAAATGTATTGCTCATAATTGCCGATAATAATTTTTTCTTCAAAAATATATTGCTGGTAATAATTTTTTACAAACATTATTTCTGGTATTAAAACCTATTTTTACACTTTCATAGTATTTTGACCCCATTTAACTATTTGCCCATAGCTAGGACCCTAACAGGTGCTACTACCTCGGGTCAGGGTGGACCAGGGAACACCAGCAATTAAGATGTGGTTACACGCTTCTCAAAAACCCTTATCAGAGGCCTTGCAGTTGGACGTAGTTTATCGTCTTATTCAGGAAGCGGATGTAGTTTATCGTCATACCCAGGACGGTTCAGTATATAGGACGCAAGCAGAATTTGACATCACGTTTTGGGGGTAAAAAAAAATGCGTATTATAGATCGAAAATCCGGTAGATTAGATTAGGCATGCATTATAGTCGAGAGAATATGGAGAATACTGGATGGTGTTCCAGGCTCAGCGTCTAGACTGCTGCTTCCGTCTCTCTGCTCCAAAAATCTTGGTTGGGTAGATGAAGAGTTTAAAAACTGTTATCCATACAGTATAACCCTCGCCCCTCTCTTCACGTGGCTGAAATGGTCCAGTGGAAAGGCAAATGTTAATAAACATTGTTGTAATTGTCTGGATGTTAATGAATGCAGGCACGAACTACAGAGATTTAACTCCCAAAGCTTTTCCCATGAGTAGAGCGGTGAAGCTTTTAAATTAGTGTTTTCGTTCATTTAGACGATCTACGAGCCCCAAGAACTTGATATATACGTACGTGTAAATGTACACAGACATACATACATATTTACCCCAGCATTTCCGTTTTTTTAAAACGCATGATGTCTGTGTAATGCTTTAAAAGCAATTAATGATAAAATCGATAGTAATAATGTCTGAAACGTTAATGCATATTCTCCTTATTTTCAGATAATTATTTAAATCATGGCGGCCAACATCCTAGACAGCGATTGGTGCTTGTCTATAAACAGAGATAACCTTTCACAATGCTGTGAGCATTCCATTGCACTAATGTTTCTGTTGTAACCTAGAAAGGTTACTGAATAAGGAATAACCAAAACGGAGGTTGGAAATGAAATGGTAATCGTTATAACATCAGCAAAATACAATAATCG